AAAAAGAAAGAAGAAGCGGCGTCGCATGACCTCGCTGACCCTGCGCCGCTGCGCGTCTCTCCCGCGTGAGGAGCTCGGAGCTGGCTTTCGGGCGACGATTACCATATTCCCGAGCACCCGGTAGCGCTCGGGCCGTACTCGGCCGCACGAATAATCCGTGTATTTTCGACGAGGACGAGAGCGCATGTGCTGCGAGAGAGCGAGTGCGTGCTTGAGTTTAGTCATGGAGCGTTATCGGCCTGCTCTATCTTAACGACACGCCAGATCTGTCGTTCTCTCCTGCCAGCCCCGTCTCTCCCTCCACCTCCTCGGTCTTCTCCTTCCGCAACCTTCACCCCCGCCGCCACGACCTGTCGGAGGATCTCGTGAAAGAGAGAGAGAGAGAGAGCGCGAGCATCTCTGACGGCATAAGAGACGCGCGGCAGGTATGAGGTGCTCGGTAAGAAATACGCGTCCGCCTTCGAAATGATTGATTCGTCGCAGCCTCCTTGCCGCGGTCTACGACGCGGAATTCCGGAAACGAGATTCCCACGAGGACGCGCGAGCGGGAGACGATGGGCGAAAATCCCGATGGGGAAAAACGATCGCGAAATCCCCGTGAAAGCAATTAGCGCTGATCGGTAACTACTGCTAGCTAATGGCAATGGTAACTTGATGAAACTCTCGCGGGCTCGCTACTTTTGATCGAGCTACCTCGAGGGATATCCTTCGGCTAAGAGATCTCCTCCTCCTTCGCCGAAAGGAACGCCGCGTGCGTTCCGATGGTCGAAAGTGCGTTCGTTGGCTTGGACTATTTCGAGAGCCGTCGCCGTCGCGTTTCTTCTTCGCTTCGGGCCGCGGAGGAAGAAAAGATTCGGACGGGGTCCCGGCGCTAAGACTGTAATGTGTCGGCTTAACGTCATCGGAGACAGTCGCCTATTCCAACTCGGACCGTGGCCGCGGTTACCTGAGCGCGTGCGTGCGTGCGCGTGTGTGTGTGTGTGTGTTTATCGGTTTGTAGGTGATGCGCGCGCGAGCGCGTGTATGCGCGCGTCACGAGTGAAACGCGAACGAATGCGCGCATACGCTCGGCTGACACGCGTCCGCGAAAGCAGCGCGGATTCTCCTCGTAGGCGCGATCTCAGAGCCGCGAGAGAGAGAGAGAGAGAGAGAGAGAGCGTAAAAAAGGAGGGGTGAGAGAGTCCGTAAAAAATCGCCCGATAGAGGAATTTATCTGCCGAGAATGAGTGGAATAGAAATGTCACGTCGGGCAAAGCGCCGCGAACGAAGAATCGCCGAAGAAACGGAGTCAGTTGCGGAAGAAAAAGCGCTCGACGGGGAAGAGGAAAATGAGAGTCGCTCGAAGCCGTCGTTGTCGTCGTCGCGCAATGTTTGCAATGGCAAGAGCCGGGCTTATCTTCGCGCGATCTTTTATTTCGACGACAAATGGGACTCGCGCTCGCGGGGCGAGGGGGTTGAATCGCGGAAGAGGAAGCCGAGTCGGCCGCATCGTGGCGGGATTAGAGAGACAGAGGCACGACGCGGAATTCGGTTCCACGGCGATGGAGACGCGTCGACAATGGCCGTCCAGAGGCTCGATGACAATGGCAACTCGATATTTCGTTTAGCCCGGCTTTTCATTCTCGGGGAGGGAGGGGGGAGGGCGAAACTATGCGACGACGACGACGACGACGACGACGACGAGCGCCGCTGGCTTCGACCGATGGCGACCGGCGCCTTTCGCCTCCGCGCTGTTTGCCGGAAAGAAAAGCGTTTCATTGCGCGGCGACGGCAAAACGTGATTCTCTGGATTGCCTCGCCTGCGGAAAAACTCGCCTCGATCCCCCGCGACCCCCCGCGCGACGAGAACTCGTATTATCGGGGGAGTATCCATTACACAGTTTTCTCCCTTTTTCCGCTGTCCCTACAAATTTCCCTTTCTTTCTCCTTCTTACCCGCTCACGCACACACATATGCGTACATACACACGGGCGTCGCGCCCGCCGAAGGATCGCGCCGAGGGTCCTTCTCAGTGCGGAGGAAGCGGAAGCGGGCGTATTCGGGAAACGGCGAATGTTTCTTCCGAGACGGCGGAACAATCGGAGTTGTGTCTCGCTCGTGGGAAGTGACCCGCCGATTGAAATCGGTCGGTGCTTGCGGCGGGGAGAAATACGAGGAAAAGAGACTTCTCATTTCCGCAAGGCGGACGCGCGCTGGCCCGACTCGCGCGATTCCTCCTCCTCATCCCCCCGCGGGCGCGTATCCGCGCGCGATACAGGAAGTTCTCTATTAAATTCCCCGCGGCCCAACGTGGCTCCAAGGTGTAACAACACGTCCAACGCGCGCAGGATGTACGATACCGTATGCGCTGAATTGCGCGCGAGTGCAAGACGGGATGCAAGAAGGATCGGTGGGGATCATCAATCGGTGCGCGAGTTGGCCGACGAAGGAAGCCGACGAAGGATTCCCGCTGCCGAAGTTGTCCCGCGCGAGAATCAGGACTTCCGTTTCCCCGTTTTCCATCTTTCGCAGGAGCGGATCCGCTCGAGAAGAGGCAGAAGCCGCGTCGAAACGCCAAAACGCGCGCGCTCCACTCGTTCGCTCGCGAGCAATCCCCTTCCCCCGCGCGGCGGCATTCCCGCTACGTCCGATCTAAAACTCGAGATCGTCTTTCGTGCGCCCCCTCGGATGCCTCGGGGCCCGCGTTTGATCCGCGTTCGCACACAGCATCCGCGGCTGAACTCTAGACGCTCTGAAACACAAGCCCACACTGTGGAACGCCGCCCACGCAGAGAAGCGCGCACGCGCGAAAGCCGCGGCGAAACACTTTCGGCCGTTTTCACTTTCCCGCGCGCGCGCATCGGCGAGGACGGCGAAAACGGAAACTCGCGCCGCCACCGGCTACGGGTATAGAAGGAAGCCCCCCACTCTCCCCTCCCCGGTCGTCCTCGGCGAAGAAGCTCCGGCGGCCGCGACCTCCCTTCCCAACCCCCGCTCCCGTTCCGGGACGTATCCGTAGCAGGCTGTCTGGCAAGCGGCGTATCTTGATTTCCAGCCGGCGCGATCTCTCCTGAGCCGATCGCGATAAGACGAGGCGCAGGAAGGGGGGCGAGGGGGGAGGGGGGCCAGGAGGAGAACTGCTCGGGTGAAAGAGGATTCATTTGCGGCGCGCGCTAATTGGCTCGCGATTTCCCCGCGAGAGCGAACGCCTCGGACACATTCGTCACGTTTGCCCCCCGTCACAGTGGGCTCTTTCTGTCCGCCCCCTCTCTCGCCCCCGCCGACCGTGACGCGGAGACAAGGCGGTGCACTGTGCGGCCCCGTCGCCCGGCAAATGGTCCGTCCAAATTTACGCGGCTTTTTGCCGCGCGCCCTACGCGCGCTCCTTCTCCCTTTTTTCCTTCGAGCCGTTATCTCGATCCCGTCGCTGATAACGCCCGCAGCGAGAAAAATAGATGGACGGGCCGGGAGGAGGGGGAGGGCGACGAGAGAGAGACCAAGGGATCGCGATTATTCGCGCTAATGCTGCATAATTACGCGCGCGCGCGCGCGCGACAGCACTGTGAGAGGAGAAGAATCGCCATTTGCGACTGCGACAGGAACAAAAGCCGAAATACACTCGAGCAGGAAAATCCGGAGAGAGCGAAGCGGAGCACCGCGTCGCGTCTCTCTCTCTCTCTCTCTCTCTCTCTCTCTCTCCCTCTCTCTCTCTCTCTCACGAGCGCGTTAATCTCGCGGAATTCCACGGCTAGAAACCGTCGCGACGCGTGTCTCGCCTATTAAGGCCGTCGCCTACGCGCGGCCGCTCTCGTCTTTGAGATTTCCGTCCAGCGGACGGAGTCTCTCCGTCGTCTTCGACGACGACGGAGGAAAGCGAAAAGAAGGGCAACGGCGAGAAAAAGGAAAGAGAAGAAAAGGAAAGAAACGGTGACTCCTCTCTCTCTCTCTCTCTCCCTCTCTCTCTCTCTCTCTCTCTCTCTCTCTCTCCCTCTCTCTCTCATTGCCGCCACCGCCGCCGCCGGCAGCCTCTCCCTCTGTTGTCTCTATCGCGCGTTTATCGCGTCCCCCTTCGTGCCGTGGCGCTCGCTTCCGGCACTTCCGGTGTCACACGCCGTTGAGCACGCTCCACCCCTTCCAGGCGGCCGTGTACGTGTGTAAGGACCACGTCCGGCAAACCAGAAAGCATCCTAATTGTTGGTACAACACACACCGGGGGCCCCCCTCCGCGCTCGCTCGCGTCTGCATTGTCGGCCGACAAGCGGAGTGTACGTGTGTATTTCCGCGAGAGGGAGGGTACACGACGAGCAGTACTCCCGCGAGTGTGTGCGTGTGGCCGGCCGGCCGGCCACCCAGCGATCGCTTCGGACGTCGGAGTGAAACGTATATATCGCGGCGACGGGGGGGGGGGGGGGAATGCATTGATGAGTCTCGCGATTTTTTCGCATCTCGGCGGGTCCCGTCCTCGACGGGTCGAATCGTCCCCAGCGGAAACGCCGGCGCGCTCGGGAGCAATCGAGAGAGCCTCTCGGAAGCCGGGCTGTGATCAGCTTCCTCTTCACGAAGACTCCGGAGAATGAATCTCCCAGAGTCAGATGAAAGTTGCTCCGAGGAGATTGCGCGCACTCTGGTCGCGCGGTGTGCGTTCGAAATGAAAGAATCATCACGAAATTGAAGAACCGAGCGCTCGATCACACACAGGTTCGGTTCCTCCGAGAGCCGGAGAATCGCTACCGACCGTCGGGGCGACTTTCTCCTTCGATCAAGCGGCTAATTAATGCGCCGGAACGCGCCGAGCCGCCAGCGCGGGTAATCGAGACGGTTAGAGTCCTCTTCTTCATCGGCGAGCGAGTATATCGATGTGTCATCGCGAACGTATTACATCTCACGAGCGAGCGAGTGCCGCCGCGTGCAGCTGTGCGTTTCGGAAGAACCTGCCCCCCCCCACCCCGCCGTCGCCGTCCGCGTCGCGATGTGATGCGAGGAGGTGCGGGCGAAGCGGATAATTAATGGAGAGTACTCACGTTGTGCAACTTGTAGTAAAGCCCGCAAGCGTTGCAGACCGGCTCGCCGGCCTGGTTCCTCCGCCAGAGGGTCGTGGTCGCCGTCTTGCAGTTGGCGCAGCTGGTGCCCGCCCGCCTCGCCGCGCTCTGCAGCGACAGTTTTGGAAAAGAGAACACAGAGATATCACACCCGTCACGCTGCCGGTGACCTTGGACGATCGTTCGCGTGATCGCCCGCTAGATCTAACCCCGGTCCGCGGTCCAACACCCCTTTCCGTTAGGTCAGTCTGGCACTGACTGGCGAGTTTGTCGATTTCCGATCAGTGGTGCGCGGGGAAAGAAGATTGCTCGAATCCTCTTCGGAGGAACCGACGAACGCCGTTCAGCGGTCGAAGGAACCCGGCTAGAAATTTTGTTGATCAGGTTCACCTAACATTGATAAGGAGCTAATAGGGTGAATGAAAGGTAATCCTAAGTAAGTCAGTCCTTATAATGTCTTAACGACAAATGAGTAAGGAAGACCTTTGTAAGGTTATAATGATTGGGTCCTTAACGTATCAACCTGGTGTATGATATAATATGGTTCAGTCAAAACAATTTTTGGGTGCCATTTCCAAATATAAAGATGTTTGCATTGAAGAAACACTTCAGATCACTTGAATATATTTGTAAAATGCTAATAGAAACTATTCTCTTTTTAGCAGTCAATAAATAGTTGTAAGATTAACGTGACATGCAACTTTTCTCTTTAACACTACTTTATGTCTTGTCACCTTGTGACACTTAATGACACTTTTATGATATTCATTTTATGTTTCTTTTCCGAAACATTTTGCAAGTATGCTCAAGCGATCTAAAATATTATTCCATGCAAATATCTTTTTATTTGGAGATGATATGAAAGAATTTTCAGCGTGTCATTTCTTATTTTTAACGTCATCATCCAATATAGCCGTGGCGAGTAATCAGGAGTCATAATTTGAAGAAAAAAAAAAAAAAAAAGAAAAAAAACGTAATAAGGATTCCATAAGGTAACTCAATAAGGACCTGACTATGAATCCTTACTAAGATCCTGATATCCGCGCTGCGTTACACGACTTACTAGGACCCGATAGTATTACCTTATTGGGACCTGATATCCAAGTGAGATTAACCTGATCAGGACCATGGGATAAATTTCTAGTCGGGAAACTGGACTTTTGTTCATCAGAACCGAATTCAGTTCGGAAGAAGCAGAAATCCCACTTGCCTCGATGACTCTTTTCTTTTTCTCATCCACGTACTGGATGTCGGACACGTCGCTGATGGAGAGCGCGGCAGCGCCGGGGTTAGATCTGTGCGATTCGCTGTTGCTGTCGCAACCGGTTCACTGCAATTTTCCTGATCGCAAGGCGTCAGGAAAAACGCTCCGGGAAAAATGGCGAGGAAGAGATCCGCGCTGTCACGCGACGGACACGTGAGAGATCGGTCTGTCTGTCTGTCGAGCGAATCTATTTTCATCTCGACATCTCGGCGCAGACCTATCGTGACTCACCGTGAGTAAACGAGATTCTTATCGTGTCGCGCGCGCGTGCGCGCGCACACACACACGGAAACTCCAGGAGGCCACCGTTTGGTCAGGGAAAAAGAGAGCCGTCTCTCGAGGAACGTTCGTCGAAATACGAAAACTGCGATCGGACTCGCGCCGCACGAGAAGGGATTATGAAATGTGCCGCGGAATAAAACACTCTGCCCTCTCTTTCCCTCTCTCCGTCTGTCGCGATAGGGACCAAGAGACAGAAATCGAGAAAGAGCAGAAAGAGAGAGAGAGAGAGAGAGGGGGGGGGGAGAAGAGAGTACACCGTCTACTCCCGCACACCAGAAGCGCATTCGATCCGTCGGCTTACGCGCGGAATCAAAAAGCCACGGGGCTTGACGCGGGTTTTACCGTGACATCAACCTCCACCTTGTCCCCCCTTCCCCCGCAACCCTGTTCTTCCCTCGAAATCCTTCCCCCTGCTGCCTGCCAGTAAGATCGACATGTCTCGAGAAAGGGAGGAGAATCGCCGGCAAAGGGAGACCCTCGTTCTCTCGCCGTAGTATATGTATGTACATGCACACATACATGCGCGCGTGCACGTGCAAACACACACACACACATATGAAAAAGTATCTCCCATTCTCGGCGAATAAGTGGGAAACTCGGAAACGCCGTCCCGTACACCTGTGCGCGCACCCTCATCGCCGGCGAGCATGCGAGTGGCAAACACTTAAGAAAAAGAAGCGGGATCCACTTTATCCCTCGGGGACTAACCGCGGCTCTCCTTCTTCTCCTTCTTCTCTCCCCCCTCTCTTCCTCCTCTTGCTGTCTGCTCTCCCCGCGTGTGACGAACCTAAAACTCGAGCGGCGCGCGAACGCATAGTTTCGGGATGCTGAGGATGACGCGGGAGAACGCGAGCTAGAGAGAGAGAGGGAGGGAGAGAGAGAGAGAATGAGAGGAGGAGCAGGTATCTCGCCGTCGTTGGATCGCATTATACTGTCCTCTTTCTCGCCCTCGGCTTACGTAGCCACCTTTCACTCCTATCGACCTACCTACCTACCTACCTACCTACCTACCTACCTACCTATCCTACCCTCGTCCTGCTCTCTCGCGCTCTCTTTCTCGGCTCATCCCGCTGTGCAAACCACTTAACCGTTAATGGACGATACTGTTACTGTTAAAACCGTGTACCGTGGATAATCTCGGCGCGTCGCGCGTCTCGCGGCGTTCCCGGCGTCATCGACGTGCAAGTGTCGCTGCCAGCACAGCAGCAGTCGATTAAACTTTAATCTGAGCTCCAGCTCCATCCGAGGGCGAAGAAGCTCGCGTAGTCGATAGTTGCGATTAGCTTTTATATACATATGACGATATTCGATATGCGATATATGATATCATGTCTATGTGCAGTTCATCCCCCAAGTTGCCGTTCGGGCCGCGTCATTGGCCACGAAGCGCGGCTGAAGATGAACTCGCGAGGCGATCCTAAATACGCAAGATCTCTGGCTGGATCTATGAATGCCGTGCTTGAAGCCGGGCTAAAGTTTAATCAACGTCGGTAGAAACGAGCATGATCATCAGCAGGGACAAAACCGGGTCCGCGATAAGCCGAGATAACGGCGGTGACGACGCGAGGAGCGCGAGACGCTTCTTTCGCCGCGGCGCCCACCTTTGACCTCCGCTCCTTTCGCCTCCCCCTCTCTTTCTCTGTCGCTGCCACCACCCCCCTCTCGCCCCTACTCTCACGGACCACTTAACCCCGCCGACGTCTGAGATGACACCGCAGCCTGCATCCGGCAGGCATCGCTAGAAGAGGGACACACACGCAACCGCGCGAGACTATACCTGCGCGCCATTGTCGGCGAAAGCACAAAATACAGGGGATGCGATGCGCGCTCACCGCCCCTTCCCGCCCCTCTCCCTTGCCATAATGGCGAGCTTATTGAAATTTCTTTGAGCGAGAGGGATAGCTCTCTCGTGCGTTGTCCCCTTTTCCTCCCTTTCGTAACACAGGACACAAAATTGCCCTCCTTTGTCCCGCCCTCTCGTGCTACGTTGCGTCACGCACAATGAACTTTGAGACAGTACCGAAAAGCCCGAGTGTCCGTGCGAGCGCGCGTGTGCGTGTGTGTCCCCGATTTTTCTCGCAACGATTTTTTCCTCCTTTTTCAAGGCGCCCCCTCCCCCTTTGGTGCGCAGTCTCGCGTCTCGTCGTCGATATTCGAGGGACGTGCCTCGCGGATCGCTGCGTGATCGAGTGTGTTGGGAGTTTCCGGGGTGGTCGAGGCGCGCGCGCGCGGCCGGTTATTGTAGCGAATACACGAAGAGAGAGGAGGAAGAGAGAGAGAGAGAGATTCCGGAGATCGAACGATAAAACTGCAACTGCCGAGCGCATCGTGAAAGTGATGAGGTCGGAGAGAACGTGGTTGTTTCGCGAGGATCGTCAAAGAGAGCGGCTCAATGTCGAACGCGCCTCCGTTTGGAGATCCTCCGCGTCTTTCGCGATCGCAGAGGGAAAAGTGGAGAGAGAGAGAGAGAGAGAGAGAGAGAGAGAGAGAGGAAGGGAGAGAAAGAGAGAGAAAGGGGGATACCCGCACCGATCGTCGCACGCGCGACGAAATTACGCGGCTTCGGTAAAGGCCGTCGTTGCTCGATCCATTTTTGTCGCGTCGTCCATCGCGCGAGGACGAGAGACCAACCGAGAGAGTAACCCCTTGTTTACCTCGGGAATGAAGCGCAGGGGTCGGAAGGCACGAACGAACGAACGGAGGGTTGTAACGATGAGGAACAGGGGGGTGAGAGCGCGAGAGAGAGAGAGAGAGAGAGAGAGAGAGGTAGGTAGGTAGGTAGGTGCTGTGTGCGGTGTGTAATCATGCCTTATCTGGCGGATCTTATCAACCCTTGCGCGTAGCAAAAGGGGTCCGCGGGGTGCTCGTGGCGGGACGCCCGGGGAAAACCCTCCGCCCCGGAATCAATACGCGGAGAGCCACCTCATCAATATAGCCGCGCGCCGCGCTATCTGCTCTAGATCTTTGACACCCTCGCGCGCGCTACTACGCCGCGCGGCGAAGAGCGGCGGAGGGCGGTTCGGGACACTCCGAAAATCGCCGCCGGTCGCCGCATCTACCCCGGCGCGGCCGTCACGTCGCGCGGCTAATGGTTATTAAACGAGAGAGCGGGGGGCGGCTGAGTTTCCGGCCGAGCGGGCAGCCTTGGAGCGTCCGCGGCGGGGATGATCATTAGCAAATGGAGAACAATTCGACGACGACGACGACGACGACGACGACGACGGCGGGCGAGCGCGAAATCCGAGCGGAATCGCCAGCTCGCTCTGTCATTCGGCACAGCCGTCGGTACTCTCTAATGTAATGGGACACGCGTAGGCGGCTTGATATCGATGGGAAAAGTAATTGCCACGTCTGTTGAATTATTGGTGAAAACAATCGCGTACGATTACGCGCTGAGAAAACTGCACCCGTCGGTCGTCGTCGTTATTATTGTTATTATTATTAATACGATGGCGCAATTATATCGCGACTACACGTCGAGCTGGAACGCCTCGAGTCAGACACGGGGAGTCCATTTCCAGGCTCGCGCTACCGCCACGCACGCTGCTATCTCCTCTCTCCTCTCCCTTCTCTCTCTCTCTCTCTCTCTCTCTCTCTCTCTCTCTCGCTCGATATCGTTCAGAGCACGACGACGTCGTGAATCCGGGCGTGCTTTCGTGCGAGAGCGACTTACTGACTGACTGGTCAACCGGCACAGCCGTGCACGCATTGCTGCGCGATTAGATCCCCGAGGTAGTCGCTGACTCTCTCTCTCTCTCTCTCCCTCTCTCTTTCTCCGCGGTAAGTCCTGTCCCCGGCGGTATCGCGCGGATCTCTCTCACGTCCCCGCGATCTTCGGCCGCGACGACGGTAACAACACGTCCCCGCGTTGATGCAGCCCGCGGGGGTCACACACCGATTAGCCGCGCGCGCAGTGTCCGGCCACCCCCTATTGGCGACGAATTTCCTCGTTATCTCGGCCGAGAGCGACGATAGCGAGAGCCGCGGTGGTAATTGCCGCCATCGCCGCCGCCGCCGCCGCCGCCGCCGCCACCGTGGACAATACTTTATCATCCGCTGCTGCCGGGCGCGTTTGGAACCGGTTGCCTCCAGAAGGCAGAGCCCCGGACACTGACGGATATGACATTTCTGAAGTTCGCGGCGATCTACGTTTCTCTCCTCCCTTTATTCCTATTTTATCTCCGGCCTCCTCCTCGCTTTCTTTTTCCCAAGCGCGCTCTACCCTCTCCTTCCCTTCCCTCGTCCGACCCACCCTGCCTGGCTCTCGTCCCTCTCTCTCTCTCTCTCTCTCTCTCTCTCTCTCTCTCTCTCTCTCTCTCTCTCTCTCTCTCTCTCTCTCTCTCTCTCTCTTTCTCTCTTTCTCGCTCTCCTCTCTTCGTCAGTCTCCTTCTTCTATCTCCTCCTCCTCCTCTCCTCGGCCTCGTCTCGACCTCGCGTTTCCCTCGCTCGTTTTATTTCGCCCCCTCGTTCCCACCCCGGCGTACGGCGTACATCGACTCGCCTGAGCGTCTCTCGAGGAAGAGAAGGAAGAGGCAGAGGGGAGGCGAAGGAAAGAGGTCTGCCTCTCTCTCTCTCTCTCTTTTTCTCTCTTTCTCTGTGCCTCGACGAATCATACTTTTATTTGCCGTCTTCTTGCCCTCTCAGAGCGAACGAACGACCGCCGCCGCCGCCGCCGTGCGCGCACTCAGGCGACTCGGAGAGCGCGTCATTCTTGAAATTGAAAACTGGATTATCGGCTTTCGACGTCCGGTCCGGTCCGAGACAGCCGCGAGCCGATTCGATGGGCCAAGCGAGCGAGCGAGCAAGCTCGCGCTCATCTAGTCGCACGTTCAACATTGAGCTTTGAGCGGACGGAGGGACGACGCTCGGCGCATATCCGGTTCTGCTTGCGCGTCGCTCTCTCGTAAGCGCGCTCGGATAACGTCGATACGCGGCACCTGGACGACCGTAATTTCGCGTTAAGTGCGCTGCCATTCGAGATTAACTTAATCGCGACTCGATCGCACCCCTTCCTGCGAGACCGGCCTCGTCTACGTGGAAAAGTTGGACGCAGCCAAATCGTTCTCTCCCTCTCTCTCTCATCTCCCTCTTTCTCTTTGCTTCCAGCGCACCAAGTCGGTCGAATACCTCGCGACATTTCGGTCAAGCTTCGTTCAGCGACAACGAGACTTCGCAGGCAGCGGAAAATCCGCGCGAATGAGAAGAGAAATTCCGCGACGAGAAGGCGAGGAAGCGGAAAGGTGATAGGAGCGACACGAAGAGGAGAGGTACGCCGCTTATCGCGATAATCCTGTAAGAGGATGTGAGTACCCGATATCGACGTGAGCGAGCGAGCGAGCAAGCGCGCGATCGTCGCGCGTTATTAATTAATCTGATACGCTGATTAATGGCACCGGACGACCCGCGATAATTCTTATACTCGCTGCGCACGCGAGTCAGCTCTGATCGGACGGAGGTCCTGCGAGAATGAGACTCTTCGGTGGAAATGAAAGCGCAAAGTTCGCGAACGAACGATCGAGAGAAAAAGAGGCAGGAAGAGAGGGAGAAGCCTCGCGCGGAGCGAGGAGGAGTCGCGGCAGGACTCTCGACGGCCGGCTACTCGATCCCCGCGCGCGTGTTTCCCCGCGGCGGCCGTAAAATTAATAATAATCAAATTAGCCGGGTGATTAATGACGCGTTGCGTATCTCGCGGGCTCGCGCTTCCCAGAAGTCGATCTTCCCGCCGTACGGAAGGAGATCGCGCGCGCAAGCGCGAGCGCGAGCGCGAGCGCTCGTCTATGGCTCGCGCGTTGGCCGCCGACGAGGCACGTTCGACGTTTCGACAATAATTACCTACTCGCTGCGTGTCGCGCGTCACGGCCGATCGATAACGCGCTGACAATTAACTTTGAAAAATCGTCCCGGCCGGCGGCGTACCGGTTCCGCCGCGCGTCGCGGAACCGCGCCGCCGCGCTGGAGACGGCGCGTTCTCGCTCCTCCTTCTCTCTCCGTCTCCCGCCGTCTTGTTCTCTTTGACATCGGACGAGGATCCTCCGCGTTGACCGCCGACGCGGTCCAGGTAGAGACGATTTAATTTCGTCGTCGACGCCGGCTGCTGCTAGGTCGGCTAGCTGGATAAGATAGGCATGCTACCTGCAGGATTAACGACGAGGCGAAATCGACCGAGACTTTTCCGTGCGCGCGCTCGCTCGCTCGTTCGCGCACGTCCGCGTTGCGCGAGTAAACTATCGTTTTACGAGCGTAGCCTCGATAACGATCTCCGTGTATCCTTGACTAAATCGTGACTAGAAGCGGCGGGGCGGAGGAGGGGGAGGGGGAGGGGGAGGCGAGCAGCAGCGGTACGCGCGCTCGCGAGCTGATACAACGCACGCTCCGGCGCAAACATTGTTCTCATCGGGATACAAATTGCCTGTACGACTCGGCGCGCCCTCGCTGGCGGGGTGGAATAAATAAGGAGAGGGTGGGTGCACGCGACCGCGGATGCGGAACTGACGGTCGGCCAGAGGGAAAGGGAAAGAGAGAGAGAGAGAGAGAGAGGGAGGAGCGTTGTCATTTCCTCTCTCATTCTCTCGTTCCACCGCAGTCCGTCCGTGCCTTCGTCTCTCGCAGCTCTTCTCCTCGCGAAGGACTCTGCGGAGCAGAACGGCGGAAGCAGCGCGCTCGCCGCTCGCTCGCTCGCGCGCGCTTGCTTTTATTATTATTCGAAAGTAGCTGCGCCGGATTCCGCTCGCGCGATGTTCGCGCGCGAACGAGGTGCCCGCTGAGAAAGCAGCGTTCTGCTCTCGTATGGGTATGCGCATATGCGTGCGTCGCGCGAGTGCTGCGCACGGCCGAGCGATTTCGCGGGCGAGCAGTCGCGAGATCGCGCGGACGAATCGATGAATCTCGCACGCGCGCGCGCGCGCGCGCAGTATAGTCTCCTCTCGCTCTTCATCTTCCGCGACAGATCTCCACGCGCACGGCAGCACGTGGGTCGAAATGGCGGATGCCGCGCGCGCACAGCAATATCCTCGTCGTCGTCTCTCTTGGTGGCGATATCTCGGCCTCTCTCTCTCTCTCTCTCTCTGTCTCTCTCTCTCTCTCTCTCTCTTTCTCTCTCGGGGAAGCACCCAGGAGGCTCTCTCGCCCCCGAGGCGGCGTGTGTGTAATACGGATAAATACGCGGCACGTCGCGCAGTATATACACTCTCCCCCTCCCCCACCTCTCCCTCTCCTTCTCGTCGCGGCGTGCCTGTGTGCACGGCAGGCGCATAATATAATGCACCGACGGTACTGCGCGCGGCTCGCGCGCGCGCGCGCGCGCGCTTGTGACTGTGACAAGTAGTGGTACCACATTCCTAACACTAACGCGAGAGCGTTCCGGCCGCTCTCGGTGCACAGCAGCGTGCACACATAACCCTCCTCCCTCTCGTTTCCCATCCTCCGGCAGCTCCTTCTCCTCCTTCACCTCCTCGTCGTCCTGCCGTCGCTGCCGCTGCTCCTGCTGGCCGCTTCGCCACCACCACCTTTTCTTCCCTCCATCTCTGTCCTCCTCGCCGTGTTCTTTCTCGGTTTTTCTTCCCGGCCTCTCTCTCTCTCTCTCTCTCTCTCTCTCTCTCTCTCTCTCTCTCTCTCTCTCTCTCTCGCTCTCTCGCTTCCTCTTCTCGTCGCGCTCGCGCTAGGGTGGGGTACGAACAATGCTCGGATCCGTGCAAAAAGCGCATCGCCCGTCGCGGACCCGCCAGGAGAACGAGAGCGCGTCTCGCGAGGGCCAGAGGAGAGATTAATCGCCGCCGACGAACGACGTTGACACGACGCGGGAGGGGCGGCTCGTGGAGTTCGCGAAAGTAGGTGCGAAAGATGCTTCGGCCTCCGTCAGGTCGCTTTCTGAGGAAGCGAAATCGCACGCTCGGTCAACCTCCTCCCCGCCGCGGCCGGCGGTGGCATTCTCGGACTTCGCAAATCCTCCAACGCGAGGCGAGCCGTGAAATGGAAGGCTACCGGCCGGCCGCATAAAGTCGCGCCAGAGAGAGGGGGGAAGGAGGGGGAGAGGGAGATCGTGCATGCCGCGCGTGCTGCCGCTCTTGGAAGTAGGCTCTCGCGGAGGAGGAGGAAGAGGAGGAGGTGGTGGTTTACACGACATATCGCGCGCGCGCGTGGATTGTCCATGGCGATTGTCCCGAGGAGAAACTTTCTGTCTTTCTGTCACTCTTTCTGTTTTTTTTTTTTCTTTTTCTTTTCGTTTCCATCGCGAGATAATCCTGACTTGACGGGCGCGTGCGGCCGACTCGAGGACGAGTCGCGCGAGAAATGTGGAAAGTAAGGCCGCTCGCTCGCTCGCTCGCTCGCACACGCACTTCTCACGTTGCGTCGAGATCGCCGATTTTTCCTCCTATTTCCCGCCGTCTCCGAGAGAGAGAGAGAAAGAGAGAGAGAGAGAGAGAGACTCGCCGCCCGCGATTACATATTCCGCGCGAAATCATCCGTTCCTCGAGGTCTCAAGGACACCCCCGCGCACACAACGCACGCGCGTGCGCACGTGTTACGCGCGCGGCGATTCCGAGAATCGTGGAAAGTAAGGTCGTTCTATGCATGTCGTATGCATACATTAAGTCCTTCTAATTCCACTTTATCGCGCGGCAATGTACTCGCGTAATTACCCAATTAATCGCTCGATTGTCAGCAGCGCACGGTAAAATTGCATTTTGCAATTTCACATTTTACACGTCCGCGCGCGCGCGTTCGGAAAGGGTTCGACGAGCGCGAATGCCGGCTCGCGGAGACCTTGCGGGCAGTGTTAAATCGCGGTGTTAATCACCCTTATCTCCCCATCGTGGATACAGCAAGGATCGTCCTTTTATTTTACCTTCTCGCAATCTTTCCATCAGCGATATCTAATTAGCGGCTCCCGATATCTTCATCCCGCCCCCCCCCCCGTCCCGTCCCGTTTCGACGATTCGCGACGTTTTCGCGAAACGACACGTCGCGCGATCAGCGAATCTCCTCGACGGCCACGGAACGAGGTCACGCGTGTTCGGCGTGTCCCACGCCAGTGTGCCTCGGGAGGCTGCACGCGTTCCACAAAGTGCATCGTGCACGATCTGGTATCGATACAGTGTGTATCAGGAGGAGGCGATGGTAGGAGGGACAGGCACGACTGACGGAGAACGAGAGAGAGAGAGAGAGAGAGAGTTTAGCTATTACCGCCGCGCTACCACGGAGTATGGTAGCCAATCTATATGATAAACAGCCTGTGTTAGGTGTACACGCGTGCACACAACCGTTTCTCTCTCTCTCTCTCTCTCTCTCTCTTTCTGTCTCTCTCAACACGGCGGCCGTAGCATCCCGGTGAGTCGAGCATCCTGCGCGAATACGCTCGTGTCACTCTCGGTCGTTAAGGAGAACGTCTCGACGAGTTGCGGGGTCAGCGTGTCGCGATGGAGAACACGGTGACATATTGAAAATCGTCGTCCCGGATGGGACCCGGACTTGCATCGTGCCCGCGCTTTGACTCTGTGGAGGAGCGTAGAGAGGATGGAAAGAGAATGTGTGTGCGCGCGCGTGTGTGTATGTGTGTGTGTGTGTGTGTGTGTGTGTGTGTGTGTGTAAAGTCCGTGTCAGACTGGTGTTGGGGATTGGAGATTGCGGGTTGGAGATTAGAGCCGAACGAATTTCCACCGGGCGATTCGTCGAATTCTAATCTCCGATTCCCGGCCTTGGCTAACTCTTTGTCCCGATGTGCTCTGCCCCGAGTTTCAGTCTGCGCGCAATTTATCCCGTTTGTTTTATTTGCTATTCTGTTTCATTTGCTAATGCAAACTGACACGGGATTTACGCGCGTGAATTGGCGCGGGCTCGCCGAGGCGCGCGCGCGTGTCCGGCTCATTCCGCGCGACGCCAAGCTCGAGAAATGACGAGAGAACAGCGACGACGACGACGACGACGACGACGACGACGACGACAACGACGACGACTCGGCACGATCGCCGATGAGATATTTATCGGGGAAAATGCATTATAATTGGTCTGGCTATTATACACTTAAGTAGAGTTGTCTCGGTAATTGCGGCGCTGCCCCGAGCCATTAAAATAAACGGCACCGTTTCGCGTCCCGATAAAAATTATATTTGACATATAACGTTTGTGTCTCGCTCGCTTGCTCGCTCGCTCGCTCGCTCGCTCGCTCGGAGAGGGCGGGCGGGCGAGCGCTAATATTAATTTAGAAATATCACGCCGCGCGCTCGCGCTCACAATGTCGCAACTTTAAAGACACGCTCTCGATTTTTCGCCATTCGCTCCATCACGATCGCTCATTCCTCCCGCCGTCCCTCCTCCTTTCGATCACGTCGTATTATTCCCGTTGAATGCCTAAATCGTGAGCTTATTACGGTAGCCGTGTAGTAAAGTCGGTTACACAAAAAGGACTCGATCGCAATAATCGCGCGTTATAAATCAGCGGCTGCGAGAGAGAGAGAGAGAAAAAAAAAAAAAAAAAAGAGAGAGAGAGAGAGAGAGAGAGCAGCTAATGGCGCTCTCGCGGAGATTTCTATCGCGGCGTGTTATCGCATCGCGGGCGCGATACTGTCGTTACGATTATTCCGACCCGGAATGCGCACCCGCGCTCCCTCCCGTCGTCCTCTCGCTTTATTTAACGACGCAGGAGTATCTAAGCGCGCTCTCGCACCCGCTACCGCCACCGCGCGCGCTATATTCCGGAGAAGCTGAAGCGAGACATTGAACAGACCTTGGTCGGGTATGAGCAACCTTTCACTCATCTTCCATCCACACAGAACGCGCGCGCCACGGAGATCGACTAGGCAAACGATTTTCACCGTGCGCGCACGCCGTGACGTAGCGACCACGCCATTCCGCGCCGATTGACTCTGCCTTTCTAATAACGCCGTCGGCTGGCGGCTGCCTAAGCCCGAGGAACGGCGGTGGCCGGTGGAAATTGTTGGCGAACAATACAATGCAACGAGACGCTGCGAGACGGAATCGCTGTTTTCGCCACGGCGAGGCGTGGGGCGTTCCCTCGACTCCGTCGTATTTCGAGAGTATTTCGCTAAACGGCCTGTGAAGGGATCTCGAACGATCCTCTCGACTCGAGCGATTAGAAATTCCGCTCGCTCCGGCCGATCCGAACAGAAATCAAATACGGCAATTTTTTATGCCTTATATGGCACGACTAGGCAAAAGCCATATGAAGGCATTATGAGTGGCCCTTATCCGGTCGGAATGTGGCAATTGTCTTGCAATATTTTCCGGATTATGAACCCTGACCAGCGATGACGTCATTATTTGGATGTCTGATTTGCTCCTGATGGACATTTGATCAGGTTTCTCGATTTCAGACAATTTTATCAGTGCGTTTTTCACTCCTTATTACACGCCGGATCTCTCTGGGCCCTATTTAAAGTTTGAGAGCCGGATGGGGGGGGGGGGATTTTAATACGGCCGTGGGACGATATTCGGCTCGCGTTCCGTGGCTAATTCAATCAGCCTCTTCTCTCCTCTCCTCTCCCTTCCTCTCCCGTCCGGGTCGCCAGCGTTTCCGGAATCACGCGTGCCCGCGCGATAAGCGACTCGCCGATCGAGTCGGAGTGAATTTCGGGACGGCCGTCGCGCCGCGCCGCGTCGCGACGAGCGGATTATGCCGCGGAACGAGGATGTCAGGATGATCGTGGAACCGGCGATAAAGGACGCAGGTGATTCGAGGATACGAGAGCGAGCGCTCTCGAGCGGCGTGTCCCGCACACCCACACGCGCCCGATACCGCACATTCTCACATGCGCTCGCGACTAAAGGCTCCTGCACACTGCGCCGCCGCGGCCGCGCCGTGAACGATTGAGGAAAATCCGACGTCGGCTCTCGTTTCCTCGGTCTGCAATCAGCACACGAGAGACTCTTCGCTGGCAATAATCCGCGAATATTGTTCGCAGTGTTTCAGCAGTCCTCCATGCAAGGACACCCGGCGCAAGCACCGTGGATTCTTTTCCCACGACGGACCCACACACGGGCGGACACCGCGGGGCAGCGACCGAGAGAGAGAGAGAGAGAGAGAGAGAGAGAAGAGTCGGCTCGTCGAGGCGTCTCCGTTCGGTAAGTAAAACTGCGAGCTGTAGGAACTCAAGGAGTGATGAACTCGTGAGTTCCATAAATTTACTCGAAACTTGGTAAATTCGTTAGAGACAAAGTCGCGCATCGTCGAGTACCGGCTGCGGCCGATTGGCGATTATAGCAGCGCAGCGCTCGCTCGTCCGCCCGAATACGGTATCCATGTATTTTCGACGACACGCGCGTCGCAGTGTGTGCAGGCTCTTTAACTTTTCTCTCTCTCTCTCTCTCTCTCTCTCTCTCTTTCGCGTGCTTGCTCACGTTGCAAAGTCTACAGACCGAACGAACGAACGTACACGAAGCCAGTGTGGCAGGCAGGCAGGCAGGCAGGCAGGCTGGCAGGTAGACACAGGCGAGGGGAGGCCCCCCGCTCGGCTCGGTGCGGTGAATTTATTTAAATTGCGAGCAATGTTCCACCGTGTTCAGCAGCTTCTTCTGGCCGGGCGCAATCGAAATCGAGCAAAACGAGCGGAGCTCGGAGTCGATGGCGTGTAGCGGGTCGCCGGTTTACAAGACGGGGAGAGGCCGCGATCGGCGGGTCGCCGAACGAACCACCTCCGTGCGCTATGTCTCTTTCTCTCATTTCCTCTTTTTATTTCTCCCCCCCTTCCTCTCTCTCTCTCTCTCTTTCTCTCTCTCTCTCTCTCTCTCTCTTTCACGCGCGTTTCGTTCGGTGCGCTGAAACGAACCACCCCCGTGAGAACCGCGCAGCGCAGCGTCGACGGAGACGACGAGCAGCTTTCCGGACCGGCCGGTCCGGCGAGAACGCAACGGCGCGCAAGGAAACAGAGACAATGGACGGCTGAGAGTTGATTGATCGCATGTCAGGGCGGGATATGTACCGCGCGGTAAATTGGCGCGAAAGTGTTCCACCCGGCCCGTCCCCGCCGAGAGAGTTTCTCCTCTCTCGGCTTCGTTACGTGCACTCGCACGCTGCCCCGTCGCGCGTTATCTTCGCGAAATTCCAAATCATCCGCGCGGTCGCCCGTTGAAAGCCGCGAGCACGCGACGCGAACGAGCAGCGGCCCTCCGGCCGCCGGGGGAGGCCGCCCCGCGAAGGCCGAGGGAGGAGGAAGGAAGCCGGGGCGACGTCTCGGTTCGCATTGCGAGGCAGAAGCGGTAACGGGCACTTTTGCGAGAGAGCGAGTCGAGCCGGGCGATATCATTAAATAGATACCCGGCAGCTGTTTTCGAGCCGGTTTCCGGCTCACGGTGCGCCGGCGACGTGCGCGCCGCGTAGTAATTGCGCCGATCCGGAATGCATCCGCGCCGCCGTGATGCAGCAGCGCCGCTTTAGACGATCCTCGCGGCGCTACTTAAGGTACTGCCTCAAATTGAGGCAGTACATCATGCCGCTGCATCACGCCTAATTGCGCTAATTTATTAATCCAGTCGATTCGGAGAGCGAGCGAGCGAGCGAGCGAGCGAGCGAGCGAGCGGGTGGGCGGGCGAGCGACAGAGAGGAGATGAAGCCACGCGCGCGTGCCGAGCGCGATTCTGCGACTCTGATTTTCGTTCTCGCATATATGAGCGGGGTGCTTAACGAGTCGTCGCGTTCAATTGAGGGGGCGTCGATTCGATTTTCGCGAGGACGATCGCCCGTTCGTTCGTTCGTTCGTTCGTTCACTCGCTCGCTCGCTCGAACGAGCGGTCGAGCGAGCCCGCGAGGCTGACTTTTCCGCGATTTACGGCGGAACGAAAGGGGAATGTACCGATCCGAGAACCAAGAACTGAGGCTCGCGCGTAACGGTTCGTACGCTAAGGCAACGACAAAATAAACAAGCGTGTAATTAGCTGACAGTACGTGGAAGTGTCGGGACTCGGAGCCGTCCAGGTGTTTACGCTTGACCGCGAGGCGTAGCCGCGCGCTCGGTATTATCTCTCTCTCTCTCTCTCTCTCTCTCTCTCTCTCTCTCTCTCTCTCTCTCTCTCTCTCTCTTTCTCTCTCTTTCTCCGAGAGCAGAGGTCACATTGTTCGCGTCTTTGACATCTAAATTCGAGTGTTTCCCCGACGCACAAGGCCTCTCCTCCCCCTCCCGCCCCTGACTATTACCCGGAGAGCAATTCGCAGGAGGCTGCGTAACGCGAGCCTGATTGCTTCATTGGACGTAACCGGCCCGGTGAAATTCTATTAAGTCCATTTCGAGAGACGGTATCGTGTCGGAGCTTCCCGGGTAGAATCGCAATTCCGCCGCGACTTTTCCGCGCCTGTCACCCCGAGCGGAACGCGCGGGGCTGCTGAGAGGAAGATGAGGAGGAAGCGAGTGAAGAGAGAGAGAGAGAGAGAGAGAGAGAGAGAGAGAGAGAGAAAGAGAGAGAAAAGGAACGAATGGAAGAAGGGAGGAGAGACGAGAATGCATTCGCATACGAAATAAAGTGGCGTATTTACACGGTGAGATCGCAGTATACATACGTACGGTCGACTGTAAATTACACCGTAAATCGTGGGGTGTTATTTGACCGGAGAGGAAAAGAGAATCGCAAGCGAGCGAGCGAGAGCCGCCAGGATAGAGGACGAAGGATTGAGGAGAGTCGGCCGGTAGTGAGAGAAAGGAGGAGAAACACGAGGAGGAGGCAAAGGCGGCAGGGACGGCCGGGTTTATGGAGCGCGGGATGATTTACGGGACGATAGTTGAAAACAAGTCTCACGGATCAAAAGACGTGCAAATTGCCCGGTTATGCACCACGGACGTCTCACGTCCGCGCGCCGCCGCCGCCGCCGCCGCCTCGTGGCGCAGACAATGGGTTAATAACACGTGGCCGCGTTAATTATGCATTCAAATACATATTAGACGGGCGAAAGTGCGCGAGCCGCCGGGCATATTTCAATTTGTGTGCTCTGCGAAAATTGAGTCGTTCGTCATCGTCGTCGTCGCGAGGCGCTCTCGTGCCAGCGGATATCGCGCTGGAAAAGGAAAAGCAGAAGCGAGCGAGGACAGCGGAAGAGGATGGGGGAGGAGGGGGAGGAAGCAGAGATTATGAGGCATCAGAGATACAAGGAGAGACAAGTTTGTGCGCCGCGAAAACAACGGAAGGAAGAAAATAGAGGGAGAGAGAGAGAGAGAGAGAGGAGAGAGAGAGAGAGAGAGAGGGAGGGAGGGAGGCAGGGAGACGGAGAGAGAGAGAGACGGAGAGGAGAGGAGAGATCTCGAGTCGCGTACTTCGTGTTCTCCCTGGCTGATTAACATAAATGGGGAATCACATCTCGCCCGGGGAATTTTCCAGCGCTCTCGGACACGACGCGGAAGCGGACAACAGCTCTCGTCCCGCGCGCGAGACGAGAGACACGAGTACTACTCCTCTCTCTCTCTCTCTCCCCTCCCTCCCTCCTTTCTTTCCGCGCGTCGAAGCTCGAGCGGTCCTCGTTCGGGCCTCTAAACAAACACAAAGCTGCTGTACGCTCGTTAATTGCGCGTGTACGCGCCGCGCGCGGAGGCAGGAAGTGGCTCGTACGATCGAGCGGATCGTCACAATGCGCGGCGACGCGACGCGACGCGACGCGCCAGCGGCGCATCCGAACGTGTCGCGCGGCGCGCTAGGAGGCCGCGATCAAGCCGCTCACGTGGTGCGAAGGACCGCGCAATTATATTTCTCTCTTTTTTTGTGCGGCGCTGCCGGGCCGCGCGGCAGGACGCGCGCGTGTCACGGAGTGTCGCGCGCATCGACTGTGGCCGAAGGTGTAGTCGCGCACGTACGCACGTACGCACACACGGGAATTCGACGGACGAGAAAATGCTCAGCTCGCGTCGGCTTGGGCGCGCGATCGCACGCGGCACAAGTACCTCTCGGCTAACGACTCTGACAGCTGTGAAATTTAACGGCCGCCGACTTGACAACACCTCCGGTCTGGAATCGATGACGGGCCGGCGGAGAGAGAGAGAGAGAGAAAGAGAGAGAGAGAGAGAAGTCATGCCTCGGAAATGTTATCTCTGTTGTACCGCGGCCAGATACTGCACTCGTCCGAGCATTCTCGAGCTCTCGAGCTCGTTCGAGATAACCGAGGGATAACAGTCTGTGGTCGGGCAGGAATCTTCCCGCCCCCGCCCCCGCCGTCGCCAGGAGCGAGGCTTTTCGTCTGTCTCGAGATAACGGAAAATCAGTCGGCCGGACTGAGGAGTATTTTCCCGTGGAGATAGCGAGTCACGAGGGAAGCGCCGCGATTCCTGCGAATGAAGAAGAAGAAGAAGAAGAAGAAGAAGAAGAAGAAGTCGTGTGTCGTCATCGTTGTCCGCGATTCTACGGTTCCCACGTCTGCGCGCGTTCGCCAATTCATCGTGATTGCGCAATCGCGTTAAAATAATCACAGCCGCGTAACTAATAGGAATCCAATGATTCACCGTGGCTTTTTTCTTCCTTGTCTCGCTCGCCTCGTCAGGTACATTCCCGCGTGTTCGCGACGATCGCGACGATCAACAAGGACGGCGGAAAGTCCTCGAGTTCTCGGAGGAGCTCGAAATCGAGATTAACGACGAGCGTTGATAAAAATGGCCGCTTGTTTACAAATGATAATGCAATTAGTCTCGCGTCGGTCGACGGACAACAACGACGACGACTCGCGGCCGGTTTCTTCGGAAGCGTTTATTCCGCTCCTGATTTGGCCTCCTCGGCACTTCGCTCCGCGACGGCAACGGCCGCGTGGGCAGTGAATTACGAGGTGAGCCCCCGGGGAGCTCGCGCAGCGGACGAGAAGGCGTGCAGGAGAAAAAAGGGAGCAGCTACTCCCCGCTTCTTGTTTCAATGGAACATAAATAAAAATTGTCTCCCGCGCTACCGAAAGCTGCTGCCGCCGCCACCGTCGCCGTTGTTGTTGTTGTTGTTGTCGCAGCGCCGCTGTTGGCCGCGTAAGCGCTTACATTTCCGATTGTAGCTCGCGCTGTAAAAGCGCGCGTGTGCTATTGTTATAATTTTCGCAAACCAGGAGACGTCGTCGTCGTCTGCGTGCAGCAGCGCGACTCCGCCGAAGGAAAACGCGCGACGTGTGGACA